TACATATTAAAGAAAAAATTTGAAGAGGGAATTAGAAAATAATACCTAAAATACAATCAAATATTATTTGTTAAATACAAATTTTATATAAACTTCAAAATTTTATCTCTATTTTTATTTGAAAAAAATATTAAAAACTTACTATCATTTATATCAATTACCTAAGAAAAAAAAATATTTAAAATGTTTAGAAAAAACAATGATATATTTTTATGACCGGATTTGAATATTTTTCTATTTTTGAAATAAATGGTATTTTACCAAATGACTCAAAAATTCCGACTGTAAAATAACAGGTATTTTAAAATTTTTGTTCTTTATGTAATATTCTTTCCGTTTAGAATTAAGATAGGTCATACATACACATGCACGGACATTTTATAAATAAATTGCTCCTCTTTACCTACTAATAAAATATGAAAAAAGAACACAGAAAAATTTTTGAAGCACTCAATATAACATGTTTGAAATAATTTTAAAATAATTATTTAAAAAAAATTTATTGGAAGTAGGTAAAACTAACTGAAATTATTTGAAACAATTTTATAAGTAACGTATAAATAACCTAAATGAGATAATTCAAATTGTTAAAATGTGTCAACCTATATTACTTTTATTAACATTTTTGTTAGCCGAAGCTACTCAACTTACCTTATAGGGAAATACAAAATGTGTATGAAAAATCATACATCCTTCCTCATTAACATTTGAAACCATACTGAAATATGAATTTGAAATTTTTTATCATTTTTTCTTTCCTCCTACCTTTCTTTCTTTTTCGTGCAATAAAATTTAAATAGGAAGCTTTTTAAAAAATGTGTATAATATCCTAAGATTTTTTAAAATGTTAAACTCTTTTTTACATAAAAAAAAAGAAAAAAATAATAAAAAATATGATACGATCAGTGGCATTTAAAGAAAAAAACAGGAACGAAGCCAAAAATTCGTAATATTTCGTAAAAAAAATTGAGTATTGGGACTTGTTAGTTAACTGCATATACATATACTGCCAGACAACATATCTGAGAGAATTGAGAGTAAAATATGGTAATACAATGAATAAAAAAAAATTGATGTTATAATTTTTAGTCTTAAAATAAAGTTATAGAAAATTTTATTAGATTTTAATTTAGAATTTAAGTTCGTAATTATTTGATTTTAAGTTTTATAATTATGACAGTGCTTTTAAAATTTTATAATCATCATAAAAAATGCGTTGTTTTTAAAGTCTCTCTTATATAAAAACAAACGCAGGTCCTCATTATGATCGGCAAAGCGAATGAAATTTTTGGCGAATATGAATTCTTCGTATTATAACTTTAGGCGAATGAGCTGTCAAATCTGTCGAATGAAAATTCTGTGTGACAACCTTGGCAAATGAAACCAAATATCAATATAACAATTATAGCATTATAGTGATATAACGGAAAAATCTAAACTATCTGCAAAGTAAGTTCGTAAAATACTACAAACTATTGCAAAAAATATTTATTGTTTAATATTAATTTAAGCGTGAAAAAAACGAACCAAAAACAATTCGAGGATTTGAATAAATTAATGGACAACAACCCCAACATCGCTAAAGGGATAGGGATATTCAATTGTTTTTGCAAAAAGAAAAAAAAAAGTAAATATGTGTGGTGTTAACCTCATTTTTTCGGTTTTCTGATGTCTTGCGGTAGCAATATGTTGGTTCTGGCGAATGAAAGCCAGCGCCGATCATAATTTAAAATGTCATTCGATTCGCCTTACTAGGCGAACATTTTAAAGGCAATAATAAAAATATTATAAAGAAACTTGTATAAGTTTTATGGTTGTGATGCGTTAGTTTCGGTAAATCAGAGAATTTACTTAAACCACCGCATTAGTTTACAAAAAAGGCTTACTAACAATGTGAAAGTATTTCCTAATAAAACTAAAATCACATACATACCTAAAAGTAATTATATGGACCTTTAATATAAAAAAAAATCGCATATGCAATAATTTTTATTAATTTTGAAGCATATAAATTTAATTAATATAGTATACCCATGAAAAATACATAGCTATATATGTAGTTATATAAAAAGTATGCATTTTGATGACTCCCAAAATGACCATACAAAATTAGCAAACTCGTTAATATCAAATGTGCATTTTCTCAAATTTGAAAGAATACACCAAAATCAACTAAATACTTCGAAAAAAAATTGCACCATTTTTTTCAATTCTGAACAATTTTGTTGTGAATTTTTGCATTCATTTTTTATGAAATTTTTTAATAAATTATTATTAATATTAAAACCTTTTTCAACGCAGATATTTTTTTTATATGTATATTATTATTATATTTTTTATATAATACATATTATAATACTTTATATTACTTTATGTCAACTATCTATTGTTCAACTTAATCCCTCAAAACTTTGAAAACATAGCATAACAAGGTTTCAAAAAGTTGAATCGTTCGTGGACTAATTGATCAATCACATTATGATTGAAACTTCGTTGAAGAAAATATTAACTGTAGTTAATATTAATAATATTAAACCACATCTGTAATTTTGAAAAAATTTAAATAATTTGGAAGTGTAACCGCCTATGTTGCTCAATCTTGTTTTTCAACTTGTTGAAGGACCAAGTTGAATAGTGGACGACCAGTATTAGGTAGAACCACACTACTTGTTTTTAAATAAAATCATAAAACTTTGTTTACTTTTTGTGCCAGCGTCGTCAATTCGTTGACTTTACTAAAAATAAAAAACTTTTTGACATTGAACTGACAACTCTTGAACTTAAAAAAAGTTTTCCCCTGACATTTTTGGCTTCCCAGTTGTTTTTTTATATTACATTATTGCAACATTGGATATATTACATTATTACATTAAACATTTGAATAACTTGAAAAAACTTTAAAAGAAAAAAATTACGTAATTTCTCCTAAAAAGTAAAAAAATTCTCATTTCAAAAGAAATAAACCAGACGGAAAAGCTGAACAAACTTTTAAAACCTTATAAATAGGTGATAAACGTCAAATTTCAAAATATTTATCAAACATAAACAAATATATATAACCAAAAATTTTGATTTTAGATTATTAAAGTTTAAAACTTAAAAAAACCATTTATGAATCAATTTTCTTTTTAATTCTTAGTTGTTAAAAAAATTATTGTTATAAAAAAAATTTTTTTGAAAAATTAAACCTTCTGACATAATCAAAAAAAACATATGTTTTGACAGCTGCAAGATTTCAAAAGTTTTTAAAACAGTAAATTTTACTTTACAAAACTTGAAAAAACTTTAAACATTGAGAAAATGAAAACGTCATTACCTTGTCTCATTTTTACTCAAAGAGTATTATTCTAGACAAAGCGTCTGTATCAAAAATTTCATAAAGTAGTTTTGAAGTTTTATAAAGTTTTTGAAAACTTTTTAATACCAGATGAATTGATATATGTATTTTGTTTTGTTAACAATATATTAATATTGTTGTCAGATTATTAATATATTGTTAACAAAATATGTGACGTATCACATCGTATGTGATATACGTATATAATAGTCATGGGCAATATCGTTCATTTCAGTGATTCGTTCTGAACGAACTACTTTTTTTCACTGACCGATTATAAAATCTTGTTCAATCGTTCATTTCGTTCACTTCCCTTCTGTATATATAATTGTATGTTTTTTGGTTATAATTATATGGCTATTCGTATTTATGGTAAATTTTAAAGAAAAGAATATGTAATGGGTTTGTAAATTAATAATAAGTTTTGAACCACAAAATAACCAAAAAGTTTAAAACGTAAAGAAAAATTTAAAACTTACTTAAAAAAACTGTCATAAGAAATTATAAATAATTTCTTAAATTTGAAGAAATAAAAATTTTAAACCATTTGTGTTTAAATTTATTATTCCTTATAAGAAATTTATAATTATTTTTATTTTTAATCCTCGAAAAAAACTGAAATCCTATTCTAAGTTTTCTAAACTTTTGTATAATATACTTTAATATTTTTTTTTAATCACTAATGCGTTAGAATGTTAACTTATAATAATAAATTTTTTTTTAGTTTTTAGTTAATTAAAAATATTTAGGTAAAAAAACGATCATATAATTATTACTCTTTTTTAAATATTTTATGCATAAATATAAGACATATGGTAGCCCAGTTAAATGATTCCTTTTTTTATTTCATACAGGTAGCTTCCAATTTGAATAAACCAGCGCAATCTTTCAATTTTCTTATTTAGGTAGATTTTTAAGTTGGCCACTTTTATTTGTATTGCATTTATATTAAGCAATAGGCACGTGTGACGTGAATCGGTCAATTTTATTTGTATTTGTATTACATTTTATTTATATTTGATCAATTTTCGTTCATTTTTATTTGAATTGCATTTAGTATATCGTTCAATTTTACTTAGATTGTATTTATATTGGTTAATCAATTTTACTTAGATTGTATTTATACAACTGATTCAACTCCTTTTGTGTGTATAGAATTTCATTTATTTTAATTTTCATTTGCTTTTATCAATATATCATATAGGAGTATATCGTTCGTTTTTATGAGCATTGGATTTAGTATGTCGTTCAATTTTATTTGTAATGTGTAATATTAATATAGAAAGAAATAAGGAATAATATAAAATGTGTATTAATTACCAATTTTTAAAAATGTGACTATATTTTAATAACTAAAAAAGAAAATTGGAATTCTTAGTGAACGATGAACGATTCATTTTTGAAGAAGTGAACTAATAAGCTAAGTTCAGTGAAGTGATTCGTTATTTAAGATTAGTTCGTTCGCGAACGACACATGACTAGTTAAGTAATGCTAGTATATAATGCAAATCGCAAACTTCAAATGATTTTAATTATATAGATAAATTGTAATAACATATTCTAGTTCTAGCTAAGTTTTTGTAGTGTATAGTGTGACATTTTTAATTTTTGTAATTGGTTCCGTTAAAGAATAAATAGACGAAGTATATTCTTAATATTTATAGATATAAGATTTTAGTGTTTATAAAGTCAAAGTCTAATTAAGTTTGTTTATAATATAAAAACCCAAAGAAATGTACATTTGTAATTTGCTGTGGAAAAAGAAGTTCGCACTTTTGTTTTACGATAAACTATAATTTCAATGAGATTTATTTTTTTACATGTTTGTATTGCTTTATGTACTTACATTGAACTAAATTAAATTATTTTGCACTGAAGACCTATGCATGTATGTATGTATGTATATAATATCTCTCCGGTGCTAGAATTATTTGAATTTTTACTTACCAAAATTAATAGTTCTAAAGAATTTATTAATTGCTAATAAAACATTTAAATGTTTGCAAAATATTAACTTTTAAGTAAATTTAGATATTAAACTATACTTTTCGTTAAATTAAGATGTGATTTTATTATATATATAGAAGTTATCCTGAAAGGATTTTTTTTTCGTCTCAAAACTTTCCTATTCTAAAAAATGTGATGCTTTTTATTGAATAATTTTTTATTTTTTAATTTTATAGCTTCCGCTATTATCGCTTGAGCATAAAATAATTTAACTCCATTTATTCATAAAATATATTGAAATTACGGGGAAAGCTTAGCAAACACAACCAGGCAGTAATTTTTATTTAATAAATTGTAATAATATTGTATGTATTTAGTCATCTTAGGAAATAAGGTTTCAACTTTAAAAAGAACTTAAATATGCTGAATTTACAAATTTCTATACAAATGTAAAACTAATAGATTATTGGTTTCTATTTGTTTACTGTACAATTTCTGTCAGTATGTATGTAAATATTTTTATAGTTTAAAAAATAGCGAATGCTCCGCAAAACGAATGAAATGAAAAAAGAAAGTTTCTGTCAATTTGAATACTTAAAATCAGTAACTTAATGTTAAGGTAACTTTTTGATTTCAAGGATATCTAAAGCTCTCCCGCCATCCAGTTTTCCCAATAATTCAATATTATTAGAATCCAAAGGAACTTAAATACTGCGATAGTCCTAAAAGTTGGTTCAATGGGCCTCACAGCATTTAAATGTTCCGCAAATCTTTTTTTACCTATCTTTACCTATTCTTAACTATGTACTTCATCGCGATTTTCATATTTTATTTTGTCATTTTCAAACGACTGACAAGAATATGCAGAAGGTGCAAACAAAAAACAAAAGGTTAAATTCATTGGTTCGTCGTTTTAGACCTAATTAAAATTCGAACTATCCTCTTAATGGTTCACTGGTTCTTCTGAAAAAAGCTGAGCGTTTTTTTTTATGATACATAAGATATTACTTTTTTGACAAGAATAATATTGTAATAGTAATATATGTATGTAAATTTGACGTTTTAAAAAAAACCTCCGCACTAAAGTTAAAGTTGGTTCAACTTTTCGAGAAAATAAAGAAAATTTCAAAAATTCAAATTTTCATACAAAATACATCATCTCGTTGCAAAATGACGAACCAATGAGCACCAGTAGTTGAAACTTTTGTATACTATTTAACGGAATCAGAAACTTAAGTTCTAACACACAACTTTCAGCTCATAAACGGTAGTTTGCAGTGGTTACGTTCGCATAAACGGAAACACACTTTATTTGGAAACATTAAAGAGTATTGATAAAAAGTAATATAAGAAATTTTTATTTAATAGATCATTATACATATAATTTATTTATTAATTATTAAGCAATAAATATCTTAGGTTCATTATGCGTTGTCTAATTATACATTTCTTAAATAAGTAATTGATTTTACATTTGATTTTAAAATTTGACCAATTGAAACAAATCTAATTACCTTATTCTTATATTTCATTAAGAGTTACATTTAATTTGATTTATAAAATTGCAAAATGTCTTTATTGAAAATATTGATATTTTTCGGAAATACAAAAATTTTTTTTAGGTGTGTGTAGTTTTAAAACGCTAGGCTGTACGTTCTCTTTTAAAATATTCAGAAAATCAAATTTGTTCATAGTACTCTCTGTAAAAAATAAGTTTCCCACCACTACTGCAGCCATACATCCCCATACCATTAAAATACCTCCGCCATGTGTTATCGTTTTCAAAATATTTCTTTCATTAAATTCTTGGTTTTCCTGTCTCCGTATTTTCACTTGTTTTTTTATATTAAAAATTTCAAATTTGCTTTCAGTAAAACGAACATTTTCTCAGAAGTTAACATCTTTATTTTCGTACTTTTTCGCGAATTCTAATCTTTTTTTCTGATTAATTTTTGAGATATATGGTTTTCGTCGCGGAGACCTACCATGTAGTCCATTTCCGCGTAGTGCTCGTCGTATAGTAAAAGCACTTTTTCTGATGTTTGAGTAATATTTTAAGATATTTTTACTGCACTAGCCCTTGGGTTGTTTTTGACTTCTCTCACTAATTTGTCTTATTTCTTTATTAGAAAGTCGTTTTGGTCTACCAGACTTTTTGAAGCTATCAATTTCATTAAAATTTTTATATTTGTCTATAACATATTTTACTGTATTATGACTTTTATTGACCGTATTTGCTATATTTCGTAAGGATTCATCTTTTTTGTGCAAACCAATTATAATTTATCGGGTCTCTAAAGAAGTCTGTTTTCTCATTCTTACAAAAAATTTAAAGTATGTAATAAAAAAAAACAGTTCTATATTTCTCAAAGTAGTTGATCTCAAGTAATAAAAGTGAGCCAGAAACTTTTTGGTACGATGTGTCCAAAAAATAGCATTCGCAACTGGAATTTTCCCTTATTTTCAATAAATAGAAATATGAATTTCTCAAGTGTACAGTTTCTTTTGGCGCATCAAAGCTTCAATCAAATACTTGTTTTATTCTTTTGTTCTAAAACTTTTTATTTTTGTTTTTTATGATTTTCTTTTTTACCTGTTTTTATTAATAATGAATTAAATAAATTTTGTGTTTAATTAGTTTTTGTAAAAAACCATTATTTTAATAAATATTGAACTTTAAAATTATAATCTATAAGTGTACAATTACTTTTGGCACTCACAGTATGTATATTTTTTTTATTTAAATCTTCGATCCAAATTTTTAGCAATAGCTTCATTTTTTCTATACAAACTGATCTTGTTTTTGTAACTACTGTTGAAACTAATAAACCCACACGTAATGCTCTAAGGATTTTTGATTTATTTTTTTTTGATATTTTTCAAAAAATTCAAAAATACAAACCACTGAGCCAAATTCATTGTACGACCAATATCCGCAACTTTTTCTCCACGTTCAAATTTTCCTTTTTAATGTTGTTGTTTTTCGAATATTTTTTTTTGTTTTTAGTTTTTGCTGGCATTTAAAAAATCTTATCTCTTCGCGCACTTAGATTATAAAAAAAGGTAAGAACGAATGAACGAACGAACGAATTGACAAAGAAATATGTCATGTAAAATAATTAACAATATTTTGACAAACAGTTGTGTACGTATGTAGCATAAGATTGTCTTTTTTTGTTTTCAGAAACAATACAACCACAAATACATACATCATCAAAGTTTGTGGTTGTTTTGTTGTATTGAAAAAAACAAATAATAAGAAAATACATTTTCAAGAACGACGCAACTGCAAATAATGAGGGCTATAAAATTTTATTCTTTTCCTTCACATTTTTGAAAAAGCGTCGTAACTGCAAAAAAAATCGTTGTGTGAATTAAAAAATTGAGAAACTAAATTGAGAAACTCCTTTTACGTTGAAGTGATAAGCAAAAGAATTATTCATTAAATTCAAAAGAATTATTTAAAAATATTGGTGCGATAATCTAGGAATCAAGTTATGATCTTCAAGCTAGGATCCAAGGTGTGTAAATTGTTTTTTTATGATATATAGGAATTAGCTCCACTTTTTTGAAAATGGCTTCTTTTTTTTTGAATATTTCTGCTCCCCGTCCAAAAAATCAAACGACAGCCCTGATACGACATGTTAATATTTTTATATTTTTGTCTGTAGAATAAGGTTTTACTGGTTTTATAAACAATGAGACTAGCATTTCCTTAGTCAATATATAAATTTCGTACAGGAAGGCTGTGTCGCTGAGTGCTAAAAATAATTTATTTGTTTTTAAAAATTAAATTTTAATTTAAATTCAGTGAATAGTTATATTAATTTTTTGTGTTATTAAGTAAAATGAAGATTTATAGTTTATATAAATAAATTTTTTTTTGTTCGTAATATTTGATATGAAACAAAGGTGAATTTTGAAAAAATAGTACTAAAGTTTATTTAAAAAGAAAAACTGGCTTAATAGATTAGTAAGATTTGGTGTATTTTTTATAGGTTTTCCCATCAAATATGGCTAGTTTTAAGAAAAATGGAATAAAAATTTTCTTTTTTTAAGTAAATATGTTATGTAGGTAATAAAAAAAGTGAATTTAAAATTTTTTTTTAAAACAATTGTTTTATGTATTTACTATTTTTGTTTCACCTAAAAAATGTTTTGCTATCTGTAATTTATTATTTTAGTTTGTAAGAACATAAAATTTAATTTTGTTGTTATTTAAATGAAATAAAATAAGTTCTGCATATAAGTTCTGTCTAAACTATATCTTATCAAACACCCGAAACCGTTTTTATTTTCCAAACATCCGAAATCACCATTAACATTTCCAATTTATTAGAGAGTATCTAATATTAAATGTAATTTCTTAACAAAAAGTATGTATGTATGTTTTAGTAAATTATGTATTGCGACCAGGGCTGTCGTTTGATTTTTTTGATGGGGAGCAGAAGTATTCGAAAAAGGGAGTCTTTTTCAGAAAAGTGGAGCCAAATTCTTTATTTCATAAAAACACAATTTACAATACTTCAAATTTTCTTACTGTAAGTTTAAATAAGATCACAACTTGGTTTCTAGTTTTTCGCATCAATATTTTTAAATAATTCTTTTGAATTTAAAATGCTGCTTACCATTTCAACATAAAAGAAGCTTCTGAATTTAGTTTTAATCAAATTAACAGAAAAAAATACCCTCTCAGCTCCCGCACAAGTCGCTAAACTGAGGGAGCTTTGAATAAATTTTTCACGTTTTTCAACAATAAATTCAATCGAATTCAATTAAAATGTCAAAATTGCAATATTATCGTCTGTTAAAAAAAACTCTATACAAACATATTTCTTTTGCTGGCGTTCACGAATCTTTTAAGTTTGGTTTTTGCACACTTTAACTGTCTATTTAATTAACTTGACTACAAAAACATAGGTGACGGCTTTCGAATTAGTAGAAAAAGGTATATGTACATAACTTCGTTAGCCAAGGTTTTGTCAACAAATTTCTTTTATTTAGAAATTATATTTTTTAACTAAAATATTTTTTCAGGAATAATTATTATCAATATTGGTTTTGGGTCTGACTGAGGAAAAAAGAAAATCGGAGCCAAAATGCAAAAGAAAAACTAGAGGACAATGTTTCGAATCGGAGCCAAACGACGGTCCAGATAGCGACATATAAAGATCACTGTGGCTTATATAAGCCATATACAGTTTCTGTGACTACATACGCACTTTATCACTTAACCTAATTTTGTCAGTTAGATAACTTATTTAGTCTAAATAAGTAAATAACTTAGCCTGAAATTTATATTTTTTTTCTTTTATTTTTATTGTAATTTTTTTCTATATTAATTCTAAACTAAAATTATACCTGTTTTAATCCTTAAAGCAGGTCAAACAATTAACTTAATAGCCAAGTAGCCGCGTTGCCTTCGTTCGTGTTCAGTAGATAGTCGTTGTTTGATTTGTGTATGTGCACAAATGTACATGATCTCATGAACTTCTCTCGGGTGTCATCTTATTTCTTTTAATAAGTACAAGCAAAAATAAAATAAATACGAAATATTTTAGAAGGAAACAAATTTTTTTTTCATATACCTAAAAACTTGTTAATTTTTTTGTTTCAATTATTTTTTTTATTTTTTATTTTATTAAATTTGTTTTTATTTTGCGACTAGTTTCGTCTTTTCTATAATATATTGACATCACCAGGAACTGACTAACAAATTTAATTTTTCATAATATAAATTATGATTAGCAGTTCAATATAGATAATATAATTTAAATAAGTTGGGTCAAACCAATGGTTTGTATTGTAGCATTTTTCTCTTCAACAATTAAAAATACTCCTTTTAAAAACAATCTGTGTATACCCACCACACCATTAAAATTATTTTCATTCATATACGAAACTATTTCATTAAAGATTGCATATATTCAGGATGCACGATTTATGAAGTCTCTGAAATAAAGCAAAAATTAATTTAAAGAGGGGTTAACATAATGCTCAATTTTAAGGGTTAATTGCGTGAGTTAAGAAAAGTAATTATATTTTTTAATATCATGGATAATGTCATTACATCTAACAAGTCCCAATACTCCATTTTTTTACGAAATATTACGAATTTTTAGCTTCGTTCCTGTTTTTTTCTTTAAATACTACTGATCGTGTCATATTTCTTATTATTGTTTTCTTTTTTTTACGTAAAAAAGAGTTTAATATTTTAAAAAATCTCAGGATATTATACACATTTTTTAAAAAGCTTCCCACTTAAATTCTATTGCACGAATAAGAAAGAAAGGTAAGAGGAAAGAAAAAATTAAAAAAAATTTCAAATTCATATTTCAGTATGGTTTCAAATGTTATGAGGGAGGATGTATGATTTTTCATGCACATTTTGTATTTCCCAATAAGGTAAGTTGAGTAGTGTCGGCTAACAAAAATGTTAATAAAAGTAATAAATAATTTCAACAATTTGAATTATGTCATTTCGGTTTCATTTATACATTACTTATAAAATTGTTTCAAATAATTTCAGTTAGTTTTTAATTTATTAAAAATAAATATGTATGTACCTACTTCCAATCAATTTTGTTTTTTAAATAATTATTGTAAAACTATTTCAAACATGTTATATTGAGTGGTTCAAAAATTTTGTTGTGCTCTTCTTTCATATTTTATTAGCAGGTAAACAAGAGAAATCTATTTATAAAATGGCCCTGCCTGTGTATGAATCTTAATAGTAAACGCAAACGGACAAAAAATTACGGATATCAGTACTTACTACTTGCCATTTTACAATCGGAGTTTTTAAGTCATTTGCTAAGATACTATTTATTTCAAAAATAAAAAAGATATTCGAATTCGGTCATTAAAATGCATTATTGTCTTTTCCAAAACCTTTTAAATATTTTTTTACTTAGGTAATATATTAAGTTTTAAAAATTTTTCTCAAATAAAAATAGAGGTAAAATTTAGAAGTATATATAAAATTTGTATTGGAAAAATAATATTTGATTGTATTTTAGATATTATTTTCTAATTCCGATCTTGAAATTTTTTCTTTATTGTGTATTCATATCAATATTTAATAATTATTTTTCATTATATTTTCAACTTGACACAACAGTTACTTCCCATATCTTAAGTTAACTTACCCTATGAGAAAAAAAAGCTGTTCACTTAAAAATAATGAAATGCTTTCAGTAACATATAAAACGTTGAAGGCAAAGGTTGTTCTTTTTGTTTTTCCACTGTTTCAAGAATTTTAAAATAATTATGAATGAAAATATTAATATATTCTTGATTTTTCAAATATATTTTCGAAATTTTACCTGCTTTATAATAAGTGTGAATTTATTTTAATATTTCTTCTCAAAAAATAGCCACTTCGATTTAAAAAAACCCATATAAAATAAGGTCGTGCTTTCAAGTTTCTCTCTGAGCATTGGGACTTCTTAGATATAAAGACATTATCATGGAATTTACCCTTAGCTGTTTGCATTTATAAAAATTTGAAAAAGCTTGTAGTTTCAGAAATATAAGGCGTCAAAGATTCAAATTTTACAAATTTCGAGAGTCGATAACTTGAGAGGTGGTGGATATGGAAAAAAATTTTCTAACGAAATAAACTATTTATTAGTGTCTAAAAGCTTGTTAGTGTTAAAATTTCAGACACCCACAATGTACGGTGTGGGAGAAAAATGGTATCAAAAATTTGGAAAAAATGAACTTTAGATAACGGTAAATTTTAGCGTCCATTTTGTTTTTTTAAAGTTTAAATATAATATACCGTGGTAGAAGAAGCTAGTCATCATATTTCTGCGTTTGCAAAATTTAAAAAAATACTTATAGTTTCACTGCAGTCAACAATTAAAAAATGGCATTTTTAGTGTTTCAGGGGGCTATAACTTTTAAAGGGGGGAGATACAGAAAAATTTTCTTCCACGGAAAAAGTTTCTAGTAAAGATCCGTGACTTCAATAATGCTTTAAAATGGATTTAAGTACGGTATTAATACATTTGTAGTACCGTTTCAGAGCTTTCAATACCTTTACATTGTAAAAAAAACTACTAAAGCTTTTCGTACATTTTGGAATACAATTTTTATCATATCAATACAACTTTGACATTTATTTGAAAATTTCAATTTAAAGGACTGTGCAAATGTTCATTTTAATAAAAAGTTATCAAAAGTTGATAACTAGAACTTTATTGCTGAAAATATAATTTAGTTTATTTCATCGGTTGTTTCTGGCAACATTTATATGACAAGGTATAAGAAAAGCGTGCTCGATTTTTTTGATGCCCGATTTACTTTTATTTTACGTCTCCACTACGTATAAAACGGATTTAGGAAAAGTGTACAATGTCAAGAGCTTTTACTTAACTTTTTGGAATTTGATACTTTGTAAAATTTACATCGTATAAAATTTCAGCTTTCTATCTTCATAGGATGTAGAAGTTTTGCATACAGACACACGGACAGACAGACGGACAGAGTGAAACTAATAAGCACTTTTTTCAAAATTTTTTTGGAAAAGTGCTAAAAACAGTTAAATTATAATTGTTTTACATTATGTATTCAGGTATTAAACATAATTACAAAAAGAAAAGCAAGGGTAAAAAAATTTAAATCAAAAAGTTAATTACATAATTATACGCTAAATAATATGTATATGTACATACCTGCATATGGATTTCTAAACGTTTTGCACATATAAGTAAAATTAGCGTGCATTAAAAAGAAAGTTTCTATCTTGTAATTTAATATTAGTTGCAGGTCAATTTGATTGTTGAAAATCAATAAGTTAAATTTTTTAACTTGTTGATTTAATAAATATCTAAAACTCTCATGAAGAAAATATAAATTTTGTACGCGATTAAACTTCGATCTTATAATATTTTACTGCGTAAGGTATATTCGTTTATGTGAAAGTATGCGAAAAATTTAACGCTACTGTCGTGTATAGTGTTCATATTTTAATCAAGTTCGTTTTTAAAGACAGAAACATAACTATATTAATACATTTTCGAAAAAAATTTTCTCAATCCTCCTTGTACAGAAAATTTACATTTAATTTGAACTTTTTAACATAATTTCCTTTTTATAATTTTCTAGATAAATGTATTAAAAAACAATACTACCATCAATCCATCATTTTTGGAAGAAAAGCATGTTGATTAAAGAATATCGTATTCCGCTTCCTCTTACAGTTGATGAATACAGAATTGCACAGTTGTATATGATAGCTGTGAGTATTATACAATGTGAAGTGCATACTTAGTTGTAAATATTTATTTGATGACATACAATTTAGAAAAAAAGCAGGGATGAAAGCAGCGGAGAAGGAAGTGGTGTTGAAATCATTGTTAATGAACCATATATGGACGGGCCGGGGGGTAACGGCCAATATACGAAAAAAATTTATCATGTTGGAAGTCATTTACCTGGATGGATAAAAAGTAAACTAAGAAAAAAAATTAACTGTTTTTTAATAATTTTCATTTCAGGTTTGCTGCCAAAAAGTGCGCTCACTGTTGAGGAAGAAGCTTGGAACGCATATCCTTTTACTAAAACGCGATATACCTGCCCATTTGTGGAAAAATTTTCTCTTGATATTGAAACATATTATTTTCCGGATAATGGCAATCAGGAAAATGTTTTTAAATTGAGTGGCTCAGATTTAAAAAGCAGAGTTGTCGGTAAATTATGATAAACTAATTAAGTAAAAATAATCTAGTTTAAAGAAACACAAACATTTTTTCCATCTTTGCTTTTAAACTGCATTGTTGCAAATTTTTTAATTTTTTCTGATTTAATATTAAAACGTCTATTCTTTATACGTAGGGAATACGTGAAGCTTATCAGCTCTTAATGTAATTAAAATTTCAATCAAATTTTGTGATACCAGGATTTTTTTCCATTGCGTCAGTCGTGAAAGTCAGACGGGATGGCACGGGATACCGTCTTAGTAATTCCAAACAATTCTGAAACCATTCCACTATTAAGGGAAAAAAAGCGTTCTAAAACATATTCTAAGTTAATTTTCAGTTCAGAAATACTTTCCACAAAATGTGAAGAAAAGCTTTTTACAAAATATTTTCCAAGTATCTTTTATAAAGTTTTACAAACTTAAGAAATACAGAAGTTTTTTATTATATTAGTATAGCAATTTCTTAGGTGCAAGGATTTCTAAAAAAGTTAAAGTAAATTCAAAGTCAATTCCAACGCATGTTAATATTTTCTAAAAAAGAAATTTTTAGTAATATAGGTAACCTTCCGTAAATTAAAATTTTTAATACCCTATTTTATCCCTATACATCGACAAAAACAAAAAAAAATAACAAAAATTTCCGTAGTTCGAAAACAAGTAAATATTTGATTTGCTTGAAATCGTAACGGAAATTTTTAAATGCAATCCATGTGTTTCATGATAACCTTTTTTTCAATTTTCGAATTTGACTATTGTATGCTTGCATAATTTATATACCCATTTTTATTTAAATATAGCTAACAAATTGTTGCTTCAAGCACGAATTTTAAGAAAAGGTTAAAAACATAAAAAATGGATTAGAGGAATATTGTTTTAGGGATCTGACTAATTTTGTTTATAATTTATTATCATTACCACATAATTCCGCTGCTAGTGAAAGAAAATTTTCAGATTTGGCCTTAATAAAAAATAAATTAAGAAATAAGTTAGAATACAAACAATTAATGGCATTAGGCAAAAGCGCTTAATTTAGCAAAAAAAATGTACATTACGTTTGGAGTCCAAAGAAAGATTTTTAATTTAAATTAAAAACACAAATATAAATGTAGATTGTAGATTTGTAGATTCTAAGGGAACCGAGTGGGACAGGAGCATCCCCCCAAGCCACCGCAGCCATTTTTGACTTATTGTAGCCACCCCACTCTCCCGTCTATAATATCCCCGTCCCAATCACAAAGCCGGAGATATCCCTAAGGGAGTTAGACAACAGTTCCCGAACACTTAGGGACCCATGTCCAAGACAATTGCGACGCCGAACAGCTAGTGCCGGACAGTCGCAGAGAATGTGCACGGCGGTCTCATCGCCACCCCCACAAAATCTGCACAGGGGGGAGCCCGATTTCCCCAGCCTATGCAGGTGGTACTTCACCGGGCAGTGCCCCGTGAAGAAATTCGCGATAGTGCGAACCCGGCTCCTGCTCATCCCCAGCAACTCCGCGGCGAATCCGCCGGAGCACGCCGGAAGAAACACTTTCGCATGACGGCACCCTTTCGTGTCGCGCCAGTGACGGCCGCATTCCGCCGCGAGTAGGCAGGCAAGCCTGGCCCCCACGGCGGAAGAAGGCAGACCGCAGAAAGGCAGCCCCAGATCCCCTCCGCGCCAACTCATCGGCAACTTCGTTGCCCGCATGACCACTATGGTCCGGTACCCAAATGAGCATCACTCTGTTCTGCTATGCCAATTCCCTAAGTGCAGCAAGGCAGCTCCAGACCAGCTTGGATGTAACCTGAGCTGAACGGAGCGCCAGCAGTGCAGCCCTGCTGTCTGAGAACACATAGATGGTGCGGTTTCTAAACCCCCTTTCCAAATTGATTCTGTGCAATACGGGTCAAGAGTTGCATATATACACGTGTCCGGGCGGACACCGTATACGCCCGAACCCACACCCGACTCCGTTTAGGACCCGTCCGCATACCACACGCTCGGACCCGACCTAAGTACAGGACCACCCCTATCCCACGTCCATTGATCGGGAAACAGAACCCTGTACCTGTGGTCGAAGTTGTACCGCGGCAGACAGGTATCTGACATGGTTATTCTTAGAATCGGATCGCCCTCAATGAAGTCTCTGTGAGTTCTGTGGGCCAACTTTAGCCCTGCCCCGTCCTCGCCAGAGAGAAATCGGTAAGTCACCAGCCGAGCTTCCTTCAATATATGGAGGTGCAGTGGCGGCAATCCGATCATCACCTCCAATGCAGCGGTGGGAGCCGTCCGCATCGCCCCGGTCATTCCCAGGCAGGCCAGCCTCTGTAGCTTTTTCAGCTTGGCCCGCACACCCGCCTGCTGAGCTTTACGGCACCATACAATCGACGCATAAGTGACGATGGGCCTAGCAAGGGCCGTATATAGCCACAGTGCTATTCTGGGACCAATTCCCCAGGTCCCCCCGATGAAGCTCATACACGTCCAAAAGGCCGCCGTAGCTCTCCCGAAAACTCTATTGATATGGGTATTCCAAGAGAGACGATCATCCAGGGTTACCCCCAGATACTTCACCTCCCTCGAGTAACTAATACGTTCACCAAACAGAATTGGGCTCGTTAATCTGTCCCTGCTTCTGCGTCTGGTGAAGGCGACCAAAGTGCTCTTGCTTGGATTTATATTTAACTCAACGCCTTTGCACCACCCTTCCACAACACGTAAATTTTGCTGTAGAAGATCAGAAATAGTGCTCTCAAATTTTCCCCGCACGACGAAGGCCACATCGTCAGCTCATCCCCAGACACGCGCCCCGGAGCCCCTGAGAGCAGCGATTAGATCATCCACTACAATGGACCACAGGAGGGGCGAAAGAGCCCCGCCCTGCGGACATCCTTTTGCAGCGGAGATGAAGAGTATGTCGTCAGCTATGGTGGACTTAATAATCCTATCCTGTAGCATCCGATTGACCCATCTGCTAGTCGTCGCATCAATCCCTCGTTTGTGCAACGACTCACAGATGACATGATATGGGGTGTTGTCAAAAGCTCCCTCTATATCAAGGAAGCAGCCAACTGCTACCTCCCACACTTCCAGTGAGTTTTCAAGGACCCCCACCAGACTCTGCAGAGCAAGTACAGTAGACCTTCCCGACTGATAGACGTACTGAGATTCATGCAAGGGATTGCTTCCCAGTGCACCGTCCCGTATAAATCTATCAATCACTTTTTCCATTGCTTTCAATAGAAAAGAAGTAAGGCTGATTGGACGGAAAGACCTTGGGTGGTTGCTTGGTCGCTTACCCACCTTCGGAATATACGTCACTTTAGCCACCCTCCATGCCTGAGGGATGTAACCCCACGCATAGCTGACACGAAAAATTCCCAACAGTGCTCTAGCGATATGTTGGAAACCCCTCTGCAAAAATGCAGGATATATCCCGTCATCACCTGGAGATTTGAAGGGCCTGAAAGAGAAAACAGCCCATCTAATCCTGCCCATCGTGAAGACTAGACGGGATCGTTGCCAGTCATCCCTCCTGGGCCAGGGTGCCCCCGGTTCGATGACTGCATTTGAGTGATTCCGAAGAATCTCCGAGTCAGGAAAGTGCGTTGACGCCATAAGCTCCAACGTCTGCTTTCCGTTCTCAGTCATGGAGCCATCAGGACGTTCCATTAGGCCCAACCCGCTAGCATACGTTTTGGAAAGCACCCTGTGAAGACGCGCACTGCTGGGGAGTTCATCAATGCCCTTGCAGAACGCCCTCCACGAGATTCTCTTCGCTTTCCTAATTTCTTTATTGTATTTTGTGAGTGAGTCCTTATACTCTTCCCACGAACCTGACGCCTTGCCTTATTGAATAGCTTTCTGGTCTTTAGTCTAAGCCTTGAAAGCTCTTCATTCCACCACGGGCACTTCCTATTGCTCCGCCTCGGCAAATATAAATGTACAATTGTAGTAAATATAAAAACCAATTATTAATGCAATATATTATCGCAATATATATGCTAAGCGCTTTGGTTATTACAATATAATATATTGTGATTTTTAAAAGTGAAATGTGATAAAATGAATTCCACATAGTCTATTTATTCCTTATGTTCTATCATGATTTATAAATGAATGTTCTTTATGTTATACCACTATTTATGTCAATAACGCGAATAGCTATGTACTTTTATTTACACTAAGTCCTCGAGATACGACGTCCTCTAATACGACATTTCGAGTTACAATATGATATAAATTTAGACCATTTTTATTCGTCTTGCGACATTGTTCCTGATACGACTTTAAAAATTTTGAATTTTTTTTTCTTTGACAGATTTTACTGATTTTTGAATAAAAATCTATTCCGAATTTAGTTATAAGGGAAGTCTAAAGCACAAACTTTAATAATGAACTTTTTATCGTTAAAATGCTAGTCAGTAGTTAAAAATACGAATTTAAGTGATATATATACATATAAACTTGGTTGGATTTGATTTATTTTTACAATCTTGAATTTTTTTGGTTTCGTTATTATATTTTGTTGTTTTTATTAAACTAAAAAACAGGTGAATTATAATATAAAATAGTTTTTCTAATTCAATTAACTACGATGTGAACTTTTTAATGATCACAAATTCCTTTCGTAGAGATTATGAATCAGTAATGGCAGAACCATTTTTTAGAATTTCAATATTGGTATTTTATTTCAACTGTCAAATGTTTATTTATATTTTTTGTTGCTATTTAAGTAAATAATTTGTTAAAAACGGAGTTTTGCAGTTTTTTTTAGTTTTTGAATATTTTTGAAAAGTAGAAAAAAAAATTTATAGCAGGCATGCATTCATTTCTCTGTTGAACGAACTCAAACTCCAACAAAAAGTTCAAAACTCGAAAGTGTAGAATAACCACTCCCTCTAAATTGCTGGTTAAGTGTGATTATTTCTTTCATATTTTTGATGATTGTTTTTACTGCGAACGTAATTTATGCTTACTCCATTGTGAATATTCGGAGGAGAATT